AAAATCTCTGTCGTAGGTGACTCAATGTCTTCTTAACTCCGAGATGTCTTCCTGTTAAACTATCATGGGATTGATGCAGCACAACTTCCCGTAACTTCCCGTAATTTTCCCCATATAACCGTTTGCCAGGTCGTCACTTTCCCATCTCCAAAGAAGAATACCATCTTCAAGCTTCAACTTGTCCCATTGTGCCCAATAGTTCTTTGTCACAGGGCTTAAGCTAGACACCTTCTCCCAAGCAGGGCGCAAAACACTTGCTTTTAGAAAATCAATTATTGGCTTCAAATCTTGGTCTTTCTCCTGCTCTGATTTAATATATATACCTAGTTTCACTTCACCATCATCAACTCCTTCAGTCACTTTGACTTCAGCTTGATGGCACCTAGTTAGTTCAACCTCTCTTTTAACAGTTACCGGAATTTGGCCTTTGTTGTTCCCAAACATCATTTTATCAAAATTAATTACAAACTTCTTTGGTAGTAAGTAGTCCAACCCTAATATGCATTGGTCTTCAATGTCAGCCAAGTATACTTTGTGTCTGTCCTTCATGCCTATGAGCTCAGTAGTTACCCACACTGGTCCCCACTACCTTCCAGAATGTCCTGTCACACCACAGAGCTTCTGTATGGCTTCTGGTACTCCTTTGTGATCCAGCATCTTGATACTCACAAGGGTTTGCTGAGATGCAGAGTCTATGACAAAGTTGCACCTTTGGCCATACAGCTTTCCTGTCACGTAGACACCATGTGTGCTTGCCATTTTACACTTAGCTGTTGGGACTTTCACGATGGGGGTTTGTAGGCATCCCTCATCATCGACCACTACTGGTTCCCCGAGGCTGACTTATTGGTAGTATTCTTCTTACACTGGCTCCTCATATGTTCTTGCTCTCCACAGTTCCAACAACCTTTCTTGGTAGCAGCCTTTCCTGCTGTGGCATCTTCCCTGTGTTGAAGTTTCCAGCATTGAGCTCTCTTGTGCCCAGGTTTATTACAGTGCCAACAAAGTCCCTCAAACTTCTCTGAAAGCTGTCCTTTTCTGGACTTGAATCCTGATGACTGTACCAACCTTTGTACCTCTGTGCTGCACTTAACATAGGATTCAAATTCAAGAGCTCTGGCCATTGCATCCTGCATAGTAGAGTGGTGTGCTTGCTTTACTTGTATCTTCAGTTGTGGACTGTCTAAGGCATCTACAAACTGATCCCTCAGCAACAACTTGAGGACATCGGGTGGTGCAGTTGGGTAGGCCTTGTGTGCCATACTTTCCAAATTCTTGTGCCAGCTCTTGCAGGCTCTCCCCTTTAGCACGGACTCCAGTCCTAAACCTTGCCCTGTAGACTTCAGACTGATTTTGAGTTCCATACCTGAGCTCTAGAGCAGCTACCAGTGCTCTGTAGTTGTGCCTGTCGTCTGCTACAACTGTCCAAGTATTTTCAGTGGATGTCCCTTCAGGCTTGTTGCCAGATATACTGCTTTCTGCTCCTCTGTCCATCCATTCATCTCTGCCAGTAGCTCAAATTGTGCTCTATATGCTTCCCACGGTGCCTTCCCATCGAATTCCTGTGGCTTCCTTTGTACTAGATAACCCCTATTGCTGACATTCGTATCTGGGATGTGACTTCTAACAGGACTGAAGATGTCTGCTTTATGGTTTAGCTGTGGGGTCTGGAAGGGGCTTGCCATTGTCTGGGGCTGATTAAGTCGATGGTTAGTGTATCCTCCTTGTGTAAAATACAGTAAATCATACTTTAATGTATTTAATTGACTTTAAAATTTACTCATCTTTTCCACTTGGCTTTCTCTCAAGTGTTGGAGACTTTCTTCTTGTTCATTTTCTTTCTCCTCCAACCACTGCTGTAGTCTCTCTTCTTGTTTCTTTTCGTTCTCTTCCAACCACTGCTGTAGTCTCTCTTTTTGTTTCTTTTCTGTTTCCTCCAACAACTGCTGTAATCTCTAATGTTTATTTTGCTGTTCGAGTTGCCACTTTTGCAGGCTTTCTTGTCACTGCTGCAGTCTCTCTTCTTGTTTCTTTTCTTTTTCCTCCAACAAATGGTGTAATCTCTCTTGTTTATTTTGCTGTTCGAGCTGCCACTGCTGTTGTGTCTCTTCTTGTTTCTTTTCTAGTACTTCTTGTTTCTTTTGTGACTTCCGCTGTCGTAACAATATATATATATATATATATGAACTGGTTAAGCCTATGTACAACAACTTCTTTACACTATAGAGATTATAAGCATATCATAAACACTATATATATAGTTCTCTTCTTGTCAAAAATCCACTTAGGCCTATCAATCAATTGCTTTATAAGTTCAGTTGACAAGCCGAACTACCTTTCTCTATTTCTATCGCACTAGTATTCCATGTATAATTCATTTACAATTATAGCATGAGTTACCACAGTCGTATACTTATCTGCCAGTAATCGTCTGGTCCTTTTGTCAAAGTGCACTCAGGTTAGTTCAATTACTTTAGAACTCGCTTTAATCGTTAGGCCTATCACTTCTAGGGCAGTTAACTCCACGTTTAACTTTTCCTTGGCTGTGACTTTATTCTTTTTTTCTGCTATTGTCTGTCTACTTTTCCCACTCATCTTACACTATTTATATGTTTATTATTTAATCTTCTGCTCACAATATCCTCAACATCAATGAGTTATAAACACAACATACGACTCTTACCGAGTTACATAATTAAACTTGTCATAACATTTACTTTATGATAATTGCTTCTAACGCATTGGCCCGGCATGGCCAGGTGGATAAGGCGCTCGACTCCCAATCTGAGGGTCGCG